TATAATATTGTACCTGTAACCCACATCTCGCTAGTTCACCGTGCTCATATTTTTAATCACGGTAAACTAACAGTTCATCATTCAACTATTAATGTGTTTATATTTCTATAACTGAATTAAAAAAAAAGTTTTAAACTAACAATTCATCATTTTTTTTGCTCTCCCGGTTCTAAGGTTTTATCTTGACTAATCCGATCCACCCTCGTCGTACATCTAACTTTGGTTGGTGAGTCTCTAAATAAGGATTTTCTGCATATACAAGGACAAGAACTTGAGACCTTACTTAAGCGATATCAAGCTGATTGCCACTTGAACATAGGGGTGTTCATAATTTGATTAGAACCGAATTAACCGACCAAAACAAAATTCCAATTGATTAATTGGTCGGTTAATATTGGGTTCGGTCGGTTAACGATTAATGGTTTTTTTTCAAACTCCGTTTCAATTAATTCGATTCGAAATCGATTAATTAATTGAATTAACTGAAATTATTAAATATTTAATATATTATATTATTTAGCTTTAGGATTGTTTAAACTTCGGTTTTAACCGAATAAACCAAAAATATTTAATATTTAATATATAATATACATTATTATATATTATTTATAAGTTTTGGTTAACCGGTCAATTAACCGAACTTAATTAGGTTCGGTTAAATTTTTTAAAAAAATTCGATTCGATTAACGATTAAAAGAAAAAATTCAATTAATAAAATGTGAGTATTTTGATTTAGTCGGTTAACCGAATTAACCGTTTGAACACTACTACTTCCAGCAACCCGTGTCGGTAACAATTCATCATATTTTTAAATGCATGAAGGAACTAAAATAGAATATCTTATTCTCTGTTATATAATATAATAATGTTAAAGAATCATTTGAGAAGATTAATGTAAACTGAAACTTGGGGAGGAGATGTAATTTGAGTGGGCGGTGAATAAATGATTCCGATGTGGACAAAAATCTTTTCACATTCCAATTCAATCCAGCGAAGAACATATTGTAAGAGCGAGCCGGCAGGAAATCAAAAGTGAAAAGCAGTCAACAAAAGAGCATTCTTTTGTCAGGAATTGGGAATGGATGCCCTTTGATTATTAGAATAAATAAAATAAATATTTGGCTGTTGATGACTTGGATGATTAGGGTTTAATCAAATTTATAGGGATCAATCCTCACAAATATGTGCACCAAAACCAATCATTGGGAATTTGGGACATCTTAATGAGACGAAATAGATCGTGAGCTACTCGAGATCGACTCGATCAAGGCTCGATAAATACTCGGATCGAATGGACTCGAGCTCGACTCGAGTTCTTAACGAGCCGAAATGAGCTACTCGATATTCGACTCGAAAAACTCGTGAGTAGCTCGAAAATATAATATATTAAGATTTTATTTAAAAAAAATATATATTAATATTTATGTATTGATTTTTTTTAAAAAAAATATAGTAGGATTTCACGTATTTAAGGTTCATGTTCGAGTTTGAGTTTGAGGCTTCAATCGAATTAATTTTAAGATTTTTTTTCATTTCAAGCCTTTTCGCTGCTCACGAGCTTCAGTTCAGGATTTCAAGTTCGAGTCGAGCTACTCACGAGCTCTATTTCAGAGTTTTCGAGTCGAGTCGAGTCAAGTTCAGCAATACTCAAACTCAACTCGACTCATTTACACCCCTATTCATCACTAATATTCCTATACCATGATTAATCACGTCAACAAGAATTAACGAAATTGTTGGTTAATGACATAAAACGTTGGTCAAATGATTATATATGATTCTTTTCATAGTTAGAGGACTACATTTATCCAAAAAAATAAGATGAGGATCACATTAATTTTTTTTAAAGTTCAGGGATCCCGTGTGCTTTTTTGCTAATATAAATATATTGTATGTAAGATTTAAGGAAAATTTTCTTCTTTACATTTTTTATAGAAAATAAAAGTTGGAGAATAGCAATAAAACAACGTTTTAAAAGAAGATATATAATAAATTTTAAACTAAAAAAATTATTTAGTTTGAACAACATTTTAAAAAAATTAAGCAACATTTAAAAAAAAAGTTATCTCACATTTTTTAAAAGCTAAACTAAAGGTAGGTTTACTCAAATAAACGACACCAAATTCAAAGCTTTAAAATATGTGTTTCAAAATTTTAACACTATGTTCTTATTTTTCTTTTTCACTAATTTTAATAAAGGTTCAATTTGACATTATTTTTAAAAATACGGTCAGATAATATTTTTGAAAAGTAATTTTGAACTATTTAGTTGAAAAGTAATTTTGAACTATTTAGTTTAAAAATTAGGTGTTTGTGATTGATGTTCAAAAGAAGTTTTCAAATGAATAAATGTCTATTTTAGACTTTTTTTTAATATAATGATATAAGTAAAGATAAATGAGTTATTTTTAATAATATTTTAAAAAATTAAAACAATAAAATTTTAACTTCAAGAAATCAATTTTCACTTCAAATTAAAAAGCATTTTTGATTTAAAAATTACATGTTTTGTATTAGTTTTTTGCTCAAAAAATACTTTAAACTCCAAAAATATATTTGAAATGATCGTAAAATAAGATCATAATTAAACAAACAAATTCATCCTCCATGATAAAAATAATAGGAGTAATGGAAATCAGTAGAAACTAGAAGCTTCATTTAAAATTAGGAGAGTCCCACTTCCTCTCCGGCAAAAGATTTCTCTAACGTGGGGACTTTTGATCAAGTTTTGGGTAAATTATGCATTTAGCACCTAAACTATCAGTTTTGGTTCATTTTAGTACCTAAACTTCCTATTTTTTTTCAAAATCATACCTAACGTTTAGTTTTCATTTCATTTTAGTATCCACCGTTAAAAACTTAAAGTATTTTAATACCTAAATTATCGGTTTTTGTCCGTTTTAGTATCTAAAATTTCAAAAATTTCAAAACTTAACGTTAAATTTTAATCGGGTACTAAAATGAAACAAAAACCTTAATTCTTAACGACTGGGATACAAAAATGAATAAAAACTAAACTTTACTTATGATTTTGAAAAAATTGAAAGTTTAGGTACTAAAAGCTAATAGTTTAGATACTAAACACATAATCTACCCTAAAGTTTTTTGCTTTTTTTCTGAATTTGGATTATTCAAATATTAATTAACAATACAAAATTTAGTCTAATTAAATTAGGGTAAAGTGCATAAATGGTCCCCCAACTACAAGATAATGCTTTGTTGAGTCCATTGACTATTAAAAGATACAAAATGGTATCCCAATTGTAGGGCGTTGTTTTGTTGACTCCTCTGACTATTAAAAGTTACAAAATGATCACTCATCTACTCATATGTTATAAACTCGTCATTTTTCGTTAAAAAAGTGACAGTCGCATGAGGTTGACGTTAACCTATTAACTGAGATATCATAAAATATGATTCTGAAATCGTTTGAGATTTATTTTATGGATGGATTCTCCGTTTATATTATGTCGTTGAGTCAATACTTAAAATATTATGTTGTCAAGCCAGAGCTTGAATTGAAAGCAGTAGTGGTGCTAGTAGACTTTAGTAAAAAATAATTTTATTATATCTCAATCAGCATGTTAACATTCATTGTAGATGATCATCAAATTTTAAATGGAAAAGGATGAGTTTGAAACATATGAATTGTTGAGTGATCGTTTTGTAACTTTTAATAGTCGGGAGACTCAATAAAAAAACTCTATAGTTGGGGAACCATTATGTAGTTTTTAATAGTAAAAGGTTGCAACAAAGCAGACCCCTATAGTCGATGGACCATTTATTTACTTTACTCTTTAAATTAAAACAAAGGGTAAATTACCTATTTAGTCACCCACCTATTACTTAGTTTTTGTTTTAGTCACTAAACTATTTTTTTTCATATCATACATAATATTTTGTTTTGGTTTTATTTTGATCATCTGTCATTAAAAAATTAATAGTGTTGTTGACGTGTCACCATAAGGTAATGTCACATAAGTTTTAAAAAATAAAAATACCACATCAACATCACAACTAATTTTTAAATGATGGTTGATCGAAATAGATTCAAAACATACGTTAGGTATGTTTTAAAAACAATTAGATGGCCAAAACATAAAATAATAATACGTGGGTGACTAAATAGGTAGTTTATCCTAAAATAATTTATAAAGATATAAAAAGATGCAAGATTTTATGTTAAGGGTGAACTTATAAAATTTTAAAGTAAATGAAACATATAAAATTTTAGCAGATGAAAATATATTAACCCTAAACCGAATTAACCGAACTAATTCAGTTCGATCGGTTAACCGAATTAATTCGGTTATTTGAACACCCCTACTCTTAATTCTTCCAAGAAGATATATAAATATTAATATAAAAATATAAATTTAAACATTTAAAAGAAAAATCAGTTGTTGACGTTGCTCCGACCATGTACGCCGCTTTACAAGTCATATAGTATCTTTAAGTTTAGGATAAACTATGCATTTGATTTTAAAATTTATTGCAAACAGTAACTGATTTTAATTAATTAATTAATCAATAAATTGAATATTAATTATTAATTTAAAAAATTATCAATTTTGATTCATTTTAGTATTTGATTTTTAATTTTTTTAAATAATATATTTTATTTAGTTTTCATTTTATTTTAATACCCATCGTTAAAAACTTAGTCCATTCAATATCTAAACTACCCGTTTTTATCTGTTTTAGTAACTAAACTTTTAATTTTTCAAAATTTAATGTCAAATTTTCAACTAGTTATTAAAATGAAATAAAAACTAAAATTTTTAACAACAAATATTAAAATGAAATATAAATTAAAATTTAAGTATAATTGTGAAAAATTAAAAGTTTAAATATTAAAATAGATCAAAATTAATAATTTAAGTATTAAATGTATAATTAAAAAAATAAAATGATGTTTTCAACTAAAAATAAAATGTACCACGAAAACAAAGATAGAGATGCAAAGATAATCATCATTTTTTTTTTGATCAGATAGATAATCATTGGATGCACTAAGCTCAATCTTCAACGTCTCATTATTTTGAAAAAGCATTGAAGAAGAAAACTATACATATATATTAATAATGTATGGCCCCTCCATCTAAACTAAAAGAATACAGAGAAACTAGAGTGCTCCATTTCCATGGCTGTAATGAATACAGAAAAGAAGAAGACAAAATATCAATCTGGTATACCCCTTCTTAAAACTGAAAAAGAAAAATACATCGAAAACGAAGTTTTGGTTTTAACTCAGAGCTTCCATGGCGACTTTCAGACTCTAAGCAAATAGATACTAAGTTCAGGAGCTCCATTGCTATCAGGATTCATCATATAGAATGCTTCAGAATCTCTAGATCCAACAATTCTCTCGAACTTAGCCCTCATGTACATAAGCTCACTGTCGCCGGCTCCACCTTCCGGTTCAGTCACCGGTAAAACCCCAGCTCCCATGGAGATAGGTTCGACCGCTTTCAAAATATTCCATTCTTTAGCCCCGCAGTCCCTCCTCGTTGCGAACCCACATTTCTTTCCATTACAGTAAGTTCTCCAAACCGGCTCTTCAAGTAATCTCACAGCTTTTTTATGACCATCTTCGTCTTCTTTGCGTTCTTTCTTATCGCATTCCAAAGCGATCCGTACCAACCCGGACGCCATTTCCCGAACCAGACCACTAATGGGGGTGGCGAGCTCAACGAGGAAAGCCGGCGGCGAATTGGGTTGTTTCTGAAAAGCGAAGTGAACATGGCCACGCCTGGAACCAAAAAGGGTGCCGACAACTCGAGGTCCAAGAGAACCACCACCAAACGGCGGGTTCGAACGGTGGTTCTTCCCGAAAGCCGTAAGAACAGCTCGAAGCCTTGCGGTGGCGACCGCCTGTAGCTTCTTCCTTGGTGTAGGAACATCAACACGTGTCTTAACTTCAACACTCCCCTGCTTCTTGTCTTGTTGTTGATTGGATTGCTGCTTGGAAGTTGAACCTTGTTCGACGCCATCGTCGTCTTGAGTTCCGACTTTTTTGGTCCAGTGGAAGTGTATTTTGGAGGTGTCTTGAGAGGTCTTCTCCATTAATGGATGGTAGTGAAAACGGAGAAAGCAAATGGGTTAGGGAAAGCCGACTGCTCCTCAGGTTTAAAAATGGTGTTGGAGAAAGAAGAGAGAAATGTGTTTCTTTATCGGCTGTGGGGTGAGGGCTCCATTGCCATTGCCTTGCCTTGGTGCAAGAGAAACCTGAGTGCTGACAAAAGATACATACACTGTCCCACCAGCAGAATAGATCATGGGATTCCATATAAATATGAATTCTATGTATGTGGATTTTATGTTTTACTTTGAGTTTTTGGGTTAAATAGTATTTATTATTATTATTTTAATATTTAAATAAGTTTTTATTTTGGTTAACGTTCAACTTTAGCATGCCATTTTACTTCAAATTTCATTAAAAGAAAATACGTAATATTTTAAAAATATATCACATGACAAATATATATATTAAGTTATAAAAAATGAAGATTTATAAAAAATAGTGAAAACCTAAAATATTAAAATATTATCAGTTTTAAACAAAAATATGAAAATTTTAAATATATATCAAGTTTTGACGATGTTGATATTGTGATTAGGTTGGTCATTGACTGTTCATTTTTTTTATAAAGGATAAACTCATGATTTTATATTAGATAATGAATTTATAAATTTTTAAGATGAGATAAAGTTATAAAATTTTAAGAAAAATGATATTAAATTTTTAATGAAAAATATAAAATAAATATCTAAAATATAATGATAACATGGTATAAATTCAGGGACAAAAATATATTTAAGCAGTTTTAGTATAAGAATATTGTTGGCAAGAAAAGAAAGGAAAAGAATACGAGGGGGGACAATATATGCGTTATTTCACTTTCTAGGTGGGGTGGGAGAGAAGATTTTACTTGACTGTTGGACTCTTTTGACTTCAATCCAAAAGCAGCAAAGTGGATTACCATCCACATGGCAGCCGAACAACCCAACACATCGCATATCCACCGCACCCTTTGCTTTTTTCACATCACTCCGACTTTTTATATCATTAATTAATTAATTTAAATAAAACATCACAAAAACCTGTATTAAAATAAATCTTTTAATTTAATTTATTTCATCGAAATTTAAATTTTCAATTTTATTTTAAATATAAAAAGGATATATATATGTAACCTATTATCATCTTATAGTCATACGGAAGATTAAAGCGGAATATTTAATGAAGTCAATTATTTGATGAATGATGCTGTGCGAGAGTAGAAGCTAGTTTGGGGGTGAATAGTCATCTTCAAAACGACACTTCATTGTCTATGGGAGGTGGGGACCCCTCACCTCACTTGCATCTGCATCGCCCAGTTTTGTATATGTATCGACGGCAATTGACGCGTCACTATCTCGTATGGGTCCCACTCCGACCACGTATCATCCTACGTGGCACCAGCTCTTTCTTCAGTCGATCGGGACTTCCAGTACAGCGATCGAGCCAGACATCTCATGTCGGATGCTCTGCCTGCCCCTCCTTACGTAACAATGCGTCTCTTCCTTTTTCCTTTTATATTGGTTGCAGTTTCGACAATTGCAGTACCATATAATTACTTTCTCATTTTTAATAATTAAATTATTTTTGTGAATACGATAAATGTAAACACAAAGCACGATGACTTGTCGGATTACTTTTAATTCTTTTCATAATGAAATTTAACTGGTTTTATAAGTACTATAAAGGGAACACACTTGATCCAAAAAAATACAGCGGGAGAAATAAATAAATAAATTAAAATATATGAAAAATATTAAAATATATTATAATATTAATAAAAAAATCAAAACTAAAATACGGTATTACAATAAGAAATAAATTATAATATTGGTAAACAACAGTAATAAAAAGATACTAAAATCGATTTTTTTGGGAATAAATTTCATAGCGCGGTGACCGTTAGTTTTGTGTGCAATTATTATTTTTAATTAATTGTTCTTCAATAGGATTGTAGTTGTCATTATTATTTTTATATCTTATTCAACATTATGTCCAATATTATTGGTATCAACATGTATTTTCAACATTAATGATCTTTGATCAATAATTTCACCACCAAATAAAAATTATGAAAATTTGTTGACGTGAGCACGGCTACGAACCATACATTATTTTTAGCAATCTTTTCGAGTTCGTTTGATCGAGACAAACTGTTTACATTTGAGAAGCTTCAAGAAACTTATTTGAATATCATGCTTCCATTCTTTCCTATTTGTAAGTGCTTATTTATAATGTTCATAGACACCATATGAAGAGTTTTACAAAGGATCCATTCTATCGGCTACGAACTATACATCATTGACAATGTATGTTATGATGTTTTAAGTAGAGTTATTAAAGACATATAAAAAAAAAAGTTTGATTTTTTCCTGATAAGTTAAGAGACGATGATGTTACATCGGTGAACCTTTTTTCAAATAGATTTAATTTATTCTCATAGAATACTAAATACAGTTTCTTTTTCGATAATTTGGTTATATAATTCGTGTTATTTAAAAACCTAAATCTAAGTTTCTAATTAAAAAAGATGATAAAAGAAAACCCTGGATATTTCATTTCTGGATCTAATATTTACAACTATGAATATACATTTCAGCTAGTCTGACAATAAAAGATGACGTGGAGCTCAACCCAATGAAGATAAGGCTAACGGCAAGAAGGGATGGAACAATATTATGGAACACTTAACAAGAAAATCTGTTCCTAGAAAGAAAAACTGAAATGTGGGGGTCATGATGCCAACGTAATGCCTAGAAATTCGAGGGTTGATTTTCCCATTGCAGCCGAGAATTCGCTGAAGCTGATCACACCATCCCCATCGAAATCTGCTTTTCTAATAATATCGGTTAACTCCGAATACGTCAACGGATGACCCAATTTGGCCATGCAACCCGCCAGCTCCGCCGCGGTGATGTATCCATTGCCATCCCGATCAAACATCTGAAACACCTCCGTCAACCGCTCTTGGTTGTTCAATATATCCTCGGTGAGTTCGGGCAATATACTGGCTAATTCATCGAACTCCACCGCACCGTTGCGGTTGGAGTCTATTCTATCTAACAAAACATGGATTTGATCGCCCGATGGCTTTAGCCCGATCGCTCTTAGCAGCGCCGCCAACTCTAGCATCGTCAAGCTGCCATCGGAATCCATGTCGAACCTCGCGAAAATCTCCCATAATTGACCCAGTTCATCTTCTCCTATTGCCGCCATTTTCAGCAAATCGAAACATGTGCACAGTAAGGGCAAAAAGAAATTGATGTTAATGAGTTAACGTTGGAACGTTGATATTGCAATGTCGGAGGCGGCTGTGGATGAAGAGATGGCCAAATTAAGGAGAAACCATGAAAGGGAATCGATGTCTTTTGTCTGTTATGATTTGGAGGTTTAAATTCGAGTTTGGAGTGCCATTAAAAATAGAAATTATCTTTTTGATGTTTTATTATTGATGTTCATAATTATCGATAATCAGTACTATTTTAAGAGAATGACATTAATTTTTTCTTTTGTTGTGTACAGCGGGAGGTTTAATTTAAACTGTTACAGTTTTTTCCTAACAGAGAGAATGACATTAATGAATTATTTATTCATTTTTTTCTCTTAAATATTATTATTTATATATAAGTTAGGATCCATTTATATAGTGTATTTTTTTAATTTTATATATTTTTTAGGATCATTGGATTGAGAGAATTAAAGGCTGATATTAACTCATTTTTTCAGTAAATATCTTCTCATTTTCTGCTATTAATCTCAGCATTTGATTCTCTCATCCAATGGTCATAAACAACTGTAAAAGCAACAATGTAATTGAATCCTATCATGTATATATTGGTTACTTTAACACCCTTAACTCATATACACCCCATGTACGAATCAATATGTCACATCATTCGTATAATACATTTACAATTCAAAATCAGTATAAATTTGTTTCTTTAAAAATTTCAAAACGCATATCTTTTTTTCAAAATTAATAATCACATAAAATTATAATTTAATATTTAAGTGTCAAAATCAAATATGATTTTAGAAAGTAACTAGATAATTATGTACTATTTAATATTATAAATGAAAATGCCTAAAACTATCTAATTTAAGATCAACCAATAATATTTAAAACATAATTTAATACTATATTATTCATTATATTACTAATAATACTTAAATTTATCTATACTTAAAATATTACGACCTAAATAAATTCTATATCATAGCAATTAAAATTCTAGAATATACGTGTCACTATAAATAAAAAGTAACTTTGTACTTTTGATGACACGTTCTATACTCTGTTCACTTGCTCGTACTTACGTGTGAAATAATCACATGTTAAATTTTCACTTAATGAGACATTCAGATAACTAATAAAATATTTCTATAATAAAGTATAAATAAACTTTGCAAATATAACTTTACTGTAAAACATAAAATCAAACCTGTATTGTTCTGATTCATTATTCTTGTACTGTTTCTTTTCCTATACTATTCATTTTCCTGTATTTTTTTGTACTGTGTCTTTTTTGTACTGTTCCTTTTTCTTTCATTTTATAGCCTAATGTATAAGAATGAGAATGTATGGCACGTGGGTCAGATAATGAGTGGGCGCGCTATATGCGATTTTACTGCCAGTAATAGATAACACTTTTAGTGCAAGCAGAAGTATATATACTGTAGAACACAACATCACTATACTAAATCAGAATCAGATATGAAAATTCCGATGTCAAAACATCATGAATTTCATAACGCACATATATGCCATACAATGTACATGGATGTACCAGATTTATAATCATTAATCAAATATCAGATATCACTTCACCTCATGACATGACATTTGTACCATTAACTCTCAAGTTACCTACAGTGGTCTTTTATTTAAAATCATACCATTCACATTTATTTAGAACACCCATATATACGAATGTAAATAAATTTCTTAAATTGTGTATTGAGTGGTTCATGCTCGAAATCATTCAAAACTATATAATAAAATATATTGTTTCTCATATAAAATCATGCACATAGAAAATATCATAATCTCATAAATAAAATCTATATTGGGCAATTTGTACCCAAAACATTCATAAATTGTGTGATAAAATAACTTATAAAATTATTGGGTAATCTATATCCAAAATTTTATTTGTAAATCATTTTTATAAAAATATAAAAATAATTTAAAATACGATATAAATTTGATACTTTTCAAAATGTTCGAGGTTGGTTCATCGCAAGTCGTCCTCATATCGTATATAAAACAAGTAAAATGCACTCACATGATGCCTCATTAGTGTACTTTACTCGTACTATTGTTTTCCCCCTCGAACTTTATCCTTTCTTTTTGCTCATTTTAGTCTCGATACCCTTAAATTAATTATACAACATATACAATTTCGACATATGTTAGTATCTTTACTAACATAATAACACGTATTCTTATAACGGTCTACCAATTCTTTTCACACAATCAATGCTAACTTCAACTCCTTTAATATACCATTTCAAGTCCTTGTAAATAATAATTCTTAACATAAATTACTCAACTTCTCACATTTCACATTTAACCATCTAAACTTTTTTAAATTCATCCAACATCTTGAAAACTTTCCAAAATGGTTCTTTGTTGTTTTAATTAAATTCAAACTACCACCATATTCAACCATTCTCACAACACTTTCAACTTATTACCTCAACATCACACTTTTCCATTTCACCATTGATTTTTCCGAAGACTTGAATAGTCCCTAAATTCATATAACTTTCCAATTTGATCCAATTTCGTCTTCTAACATTAACTTTTAGCATATTACTTAAGTTTCCAACATTGCATATTAATCCTATAATTTATCAACATGCAAAAAGTTCCATAACACTTATCAAAGTTTCAATTTGATCCAAAACACAATTCCAGCACATAGATTCATTCTTACACTCAATCTAAGTGTTGGAAAAAATTTGACAACTTTGGAGCTTTGAATGATAAATTGATCCAAACGTTATTGAGGAAAATATTGAACCAATTGTTTATTCGTAAATGTGCAGACGTACACGATGTGGGTAACATGAATGTCCGAATCGGTCTAGCTCTTTGTAAGGTTGCAAATATTTTAACCCAAATGTAAGATATTTTTTCAAATAGAGAATATCTTTTTAAATCCGTTTTGAAATTAAAAGGATAATTATTAAAAAGGTTCATTTGATCAAACAGTAATTTTGGAAATTACTTAATTGTTTGATTCTCATTAATGCTTCATTAGGTCAAAAGTTTCCAATTGTTCACAATGTGAACTCCTTATAAATCCGTGTTAACCTACTAGGTTAACACAATTGAAAACAAATCAAAACTATTCAAAAAATCATCTTCTATTTTTTTGGTGATAGATGAATGAATGATAGTTCCTGATCTCGAAAGTTGTGCTACTGTGCGCTGATCACCTAGTTGTTATATCCTGGAGATAGATGATCAAAGATCTCAAGCACCGAGGAGTGGTCGAAAATCTGTCTTAAAGAAACTGCGTAGATGCAGGCCTCCTCGGCTCCAATCGTTGATTCTATACTCGTTCTGATTATTAAATAGAATAATTTTTCTATGTTATTAATCAATTTTTATTCTTGTTTAATATACATGAATTTTGCGATGAGATTCTACCGAGGTGTTGTTCGTCTTTTGCCGTAATTTATTAATCACCATGGAAAGAATTTATGAATATGTTTCTTGGTTGTATTTGGTTTTGTTGCTACATACCAATTTTGGTTGCATGCGTTGAAGATGGTATGGCACAATTGTACAAATTAATGGAAAAAATCCGAGACGATTCAGAAATCTTAGAAAAATTCAGATATAAATTAAATTCGTTTTTCGGATTTATCATGTCGTTTTAACGGGTTTTCTTAATTTCAAAGTGGACAATCTATGTAATAGAAATTATCATTAAAGTAACATTAATTACTATGTTGAAACGTTCTTTCTGTTCGATAATAAAATCGAAAATAAGCGAGATTGATTTGAATCTGCGCAATGGTACATGACTTTTTTTGCAAATTGTTTTGCAAGCTCCCATATGAGCCAACTTATGTATATAAAATGCATGGTGATAGTGATGGTGACTAGCACATGGTGATTTGCCTTTTTGCAAATAAAGAATAAACGTAATTCTTTGGTTATGGAAAATTCTTTCTATGTTATGTTATTGTTGGGTAATATCATTATGGTAAGATTTCACCCATAAAAGTGCACGTGAGCTTTAATATATTATTGTTCATGATATTATTGTTATAGTATTATTATTATATAACCTTTGGCCTATTAATATGAAATATTAAATATGGCATGAATAAAGAATACATTGGTATTTATAATTATTATAAAATGTATAATAATTATGTTTGTGTTTTTGGAAACACTATAAATTTTATAATGTACTAAAAAGTTCTTTTGAAAAATTTTGTGGATACAAACGGATTTAAAGTTTAATCAAAGGTTTTTGATTATTGGTTGTCAAACGTAAAATCAAAGGATTAGTTTCTTTTGATTATTAAGTTGAAAAAAGTAAAATCAAATGAATGGTTCTTTGTGATTAATAGGTTGGTAAATTAAAGGATCATTTCCTTTTGATTTATGTTTGTTAAACAAAATCGAGTCGTTGTGATATATTTATTTCGAATTTAGTGTTACCAATCTCGTCAGTTAACAGAATACAAAGAAATAAATCATGATTATTTCATCGTAGAATCTTGCGTTGATTCTAACTTTGTAAGGGAAATATATTGTTGAATTATTTCCTTAAGAATCTTAAATGATTCAAAACTTGTAAGGAAAATAAATTGTTGAATTTATTAAGTTGAAAAAAGTAAAATCAAATGAATGGTCTTTGTGATTAATAGGTTGGTAAAATTAAAGGATCATTTCCTTTTGTTTATGTTGTTAAACAAAATCGAGTCGTTGTGATATTTATTTCGAATTTTAGTGTTACCAATCTCGTCAGTAACAGAATACAAAGAAATAATCACTGATTTATTTCATCGTAGAATCTTGCGTTGATTCTAACTTTGTAAGGGAAATATATTGTTGAATTTATTTCCTTAAGAATCTTAAATGATTCAAAACTTGTAAGGAAAATAAATTGTTTGAATTTATTTCTTTGAGAATCTTGAATGATTTTAACTTTGTAAGGAAAATAAATGTTGAATTTATTTCCTTGAGATCTTAAATGATTCTAACTTTGTTAGGGAAAATATTGTTGAATTTATTTTCTTGAAA